GTACGTACTGTCATCTTACATATTCATGAGACAGAAAGGATGAATAATGATGCCAGAGTGCAAAATATTTAAGCTTCCATTTCTCTCCAATGCCAGGAAGGTATGGATATTGTCTTCCAAACTATTAACTGTTTTTAACATTTTTAAAGGCAAGATCAGTTAATACAGTTAATATTTTTCATTTACTCAGTTTGCAAAGAGGTTTTCTGCGTGATACTGGGCTAGGAGAGACATATGGACAAGTTTTCATACACCTACTGCCCATGTCACTGCCCAGCTTATGGATAAATAAGTAACTAGGATACACTAGGTGTTAGTCGACTACTGTGAGTCGCATCCTAAAGAGGACACCAAAGCAACATGTACCGAATATACATTAAACACAAAGGTATTCCTCACATTCCTCCAGAATTAATAGTCCAAGGCAAATCTTATCATAAATTGAGGTTTATTCAAGAAAATCTATACGCATTTTATATTCTGTAGTAGAAATTTGTACAATGATTCTAATGGCACATATATTTTTAGACAAAATAAAGTGTTTTCTTGATATTTTTCAATAAGTTGCTTAGTTTTACAGACATCGTTTTACAATGGTATTTTCAGAGTCCCCGCGACCCTGTCCGTGACCAAGTCCTTCACATTAGTTTTTCGCTACTAGCTTATAGGCATGACCTACTTCCACTAGTGGATTTTGTCTACAGGTGACTCCGTCTACAACTTCCTCACCTCACCTGTCTGCAGTATATAAATCCATTCTCCACGCAGATGCTGTACTTTTCTAAGACCCTCGTCAGGAAATACTTGTTCTATCTCTTGACGAACCTGTCTAACCTAACCTAACCTATGCTGTACTTTTATCAAGACTAACGGACTAAACACATCATCTCCATCCTAAGGGAATAATTACTTCAAACTTCTCATCTTCCACCGTTCTTCTATGTCAATATTGGATCGATGAAGCCACTGCCTGGCGAAGTGTTTCCACAATAGATACCCAAATGTTGCACAAGTATCTAGTTTATTGGCATACTCTATAATTAATCTATAGAAAGCCCCTGGTTATAAAGAGCATTTCGGGCAACTTAGGTTAATCTTGTCCCCCAGGATGCGACCCACGACAGATGACTAACACCCAGCTTCCTACTTCTAGGTGAACAGGGACAGCAGGTGTAAGGTGACTAATACCCAGGTACCTGTACTGCTAGGTGAACAGGGGCAGCAGGTGTAAGGAAACATGCCCAACGTTTCACCCTTGCTGGGATCGATACCGGACCCCCAGAATGTGAACTGGAGACACAACCAACCAAGCCACGAACATCCCTCCTGGAGCTAATGGACACACTGGAAGCACAATACTTAGATCTAGGCTAAAGCCTGATACTACAGATGTCTATGCCATTCCTGGTTACACAGCCATACACAACTGTAGGCCAGACCAACAAGGGGGTGGCACAGCTATATACTACTCAGACCAACTAGAATGTATCACTAATACTTGCACAAGGGATGAACATGGGGAATATATAATAGCTAAATTCAAATCCAAATACCTACAAAAACCTCTCACAGTGATAAACATCTACAGAATTCCACAATCAAACATTAGCCAATTTAGTCAAAACCTAGGAAGTGTGATAACTGATGCACGCATGAACAAAGATCACTTACTACTCTCAGGTGACTTCAATATAAATCTCCTGCAAGACCAGGACCCACACGTTACTGAATTCACAAACACAATGAGTAACTGTATGTTGCTACCAACAGTAACAAAACCTACAAGAGTTACAGAGACTAGTGTTTCCCTACTTGACCACATCTGGACCAACACCATATCCCCTTTAAAATCAGGCATAATTACAGATAATACCACAGACCACTACCCTACTTTCCTCATAACAACTCTTGGTAAAATACCCCAAGACACTACTAAAGTCACCTTCAGACTTCACAATGAGGCAGCCATTAATAACTTCACAACAGCAGTAACAAACATTGACTGGCACACTGAGCTAGAAATCTATAGATATTGACGAATGTTTTAATAATTTTCTAAAAAAGACCCAATACCTTTATAACAAGCACTGCCCTAAAAAAAACTAAACAGATGACAGCTAAGAGACTGAACAGTCCCTGGCTAACACCCAGCATTCTCAAATCCATAAATACAAAACACCGATATGAAAAACAGTACAGAATGGGTCACATAACCAGAGACCAAACAAAACGTTACTCGTCAATCCTAACCAGCCTGATAAGAAGGGCAAAAAAATTGTATTATGAGAACAGATTATCCAACTTACGAGGTGATATAAAAAAGACCTGGAAGACCCTATCAGAAATTCTGGGAACAAAAAAGATATCACGACATAGCGAAATAAAATTAGTAAAATCAGATGAACCCCAACTCCCACCAACAGAAACAGCAAACAGACTCAATGATTTCTTCTCCACTATAGGTCAAAACCTTGCCAATAATATCCCAAGCTCAGATACCCCACCAAATGACTACCTCACTGGCAACTACCCGAACACACTGTTCCTAGCTCCGACTAACCCATACGAAGTCTCCCTTATTATCAACGCACTGAAAAACAAGGCAGGAGATTTAAATACCTTACCACCCTTTATATACAAAAAAGCGTCACAAGTACTATCACCAATCATTGCAACACTCTTTAACAAATCCAATGAATCCTCCACCTTCCCTACAGCTCTCAAAATAGCAAGGGTCACCCCGATCCATAAAGGAGGAGACCAAACAGAGTTGAATAACTGTAGGCCAATATCCAATTTACACCCTCTCTCAAAAATCTTCGAAAAATTAATTCATAAACGAATCCACTCCTACCTCATCTCCCATAACATTCTCAACCCCCTGCCAATTTGGATTCAGGCCTAATAAAAATACTAATGATGCTATTATACACATGCTAGAACATATATACACTGCAATAGAGAAAAAAGAAGTCCCACTGGGGATCTTCATTGACTTACGTAAAGCTTTTGATACAGTTGACCATGACTTGCTCCACGTAAAATTATCACACTATGGTATTAGAGGGCACTCCCTCAACTACCTCAAGTCTTACCTCAGCAACAAAGCCAATATGTGTACGCAAATGGGGCAAGCTCTTCCGCACAACCAATTACAGTTGGTGTCCCACAGGGAAGTGTCCTTGGCCCTCTTCTCTTTCTCCTATACATAAATGACCTACCAAATGCTTCGCAATTACTCAAACCCACACTTTTTGCAGATGACACCACATAAGTCTTCTCTCACCCGAGCCCAGTCACGCTAGCCAATACTGTAAACACCGAATTACAGAAAATGTCTACCTGGATGAGTACTAACAAACTTACACTAAACATTGACAAAACCTACTTCATTCAGTTTGGTAGCAGAGCTACAGATGTACCTCTTAACATAACGATAAACGGATCACCTATCACAAAGCTAACAGAGGGAAAATTCTTAGGATAATAGACTCAAATTTCATACACATATACAACAAATTTCTAAGAAAATTTCCAAGACTGTAGGCATACTATCGAAGATACGGTACTATGTTCCACAGTCAGCCCTCCTGGCCCTTTATCACTCTCTTATTTACCCCTATCTCACCTATGGAATTTGTGCATGGGGCTCAACAACAACTAACCATCTCAGACCACTAATTACCCAACAAAAGGCTGCAGTTAGAATGATAACAAATTCTCACTACAGGCAGCACACTCCACGAATATTCAAAACATTCAACCTACTCACCATACAAAACATCCATACTTATTATTGCACTTATTACATACATAGAACACTTAACTCTGATATTAACCCTCCCCTCAAACATCTCCTTGCCAACCTCAACAGAACACATGACCATAATACAAGGCACAGATCACTCTTTGATGTTCCTCGTGTCCATCTCACGCTATGCAAAAACTCAATGCACATAAAAGGCCCTAAAATCTGGAATTCATTACCTGTAAATATAAAAGAAACACTACCTGTTTATAAATTCAAGTCTCTTCTCAAAGCTCACTTACTCACTCAAAACCAAATAAATACTGAATAACTGAACCATATAAATTGTATATCCTAAATGTTACTCACAATTATATCACACAAATGTTAAACCTAACTTTGTTATTTTTTTAAATACACTACCTAACAGAATACTCCATTCTACTGAATGAACAGCAATGCATGCAACCATAGGACCTGTCTTTATAATACTCATTTGTATTTTATAGTTATCTGTTTACAATAATGTCTTATCACTGATTTCATCATTGCTTAGTTAATCTTAAGTTAATTTTAAGCCAGCCCGTAATGCTATGCATATAAGTGGCTTTGGCATGCTGCTCTTACCTGTATTTTTTGTACCTCTGTTTGTATGCTAAAATTTCTAAATAAATAAATAAATAAATACATAAATAGGCTAGGAAACCCAAGGCGGCCGAACAATATAAATTATTTCTATTTGGGTTCTAATAACATAAATTTTGAGTTTATCCCATAGTTTATCAATAAAAGTCCATGCGGAGTCACGTTCAATATGACTGACAAGTGTATATAACCTGACTTTAGTCACTTTACTACTAAACCTCAAACCTAAAACCCAATCTAACTTTATTATTTTTTAAATACACTACCTAACAGAATACTTCATACGACTGAATGTACAACAATGCATGCAACCATATGACCTGTCTTTGTAATACTCACTTGTGCTTTATAGTAATCTGTTTACATTAATGTTTTATCACTGATTTCATCATTGCTTAGTTAATCTTAAGTTAATTTTAAGCCAGCCCGTAATGCTATGCATAGTATAAGTGGCTTTGGCATGCTGCTCTTATCTGTATTTTTTTGTACCTCTGTATGTGTGCTCAAATTGTTAATTGTTAATAATGTTAAAGGGTCCATGTGGCGGGGAATTTTGTGTAATGATGCTAGGGAAAATTCTTGGCTTGTGGGGGAGAAAGGTGGACCCAGCGGCCATTTTGTCCTGACGGTCGATATGAGTCGGGGGAGGCGAGTACACTGCTATTTTTTTTATTTTTGAGCGTCTAAGAAGATCCAACGTTAGCGCTGGACAGTGGAACAAGGACTATAGTGGCAGAAGATGAGTGGAGCAAATAGCACACCATTAGGAAGGATGAACCCAGCTATCGGAGCTGGAAAAAAGCCCGCCCCTACAGGCTTGTCTCTCTTGAAGCCCAGCTACATGAGTTCAGGAAGCTCTAGTGCATCTTCTGCAGCCACTGCTGCTGCTGCAGCAGCTGCTGCAGCAGTCTCGGCACAGATTAACAGCAGCCAAAACTCCGGAAAGAGGGAAAGTGACTCCAGCTATGAAGGTAAGAAAGGGATGGTAGTTGACGTAAGTAACCATGTCAGTGCCTCTGGGGGAGTGACCCCATTTATGAGGCTGCAAGGCTCGCGATCCAAGGAATTAGAGCTGCCCTGTCTTTGGATCAAACTCGATTAACCATTCCCCTAGGCACTTGCACTTACGGGTTTAGGACTTTGTAAATATTTTAAGAGGAGTCCCTTGACGCAGGTGAAGGGCTCTGGATCCAAGGAATTGAGCTATCCTGCCTATGGATATAATATTAATTGCATTGTTACAGCATTTAGTAAGGATTTTATATATAGATTGTCATTAATTGCTGCTTTGCATATAATTATGTAATTATTAAATTGAAATAAAAATTACAGACGTACATAAGTTTATTTGGGTGCACATAAATACAATTATCATAAATAGTAACATGTAAAAATATTTGTATAAATTACCTAGGATAATTAAATTTATTTTGGTACAGGTCCACATAAGTACAATTATTATATAGTAACATGTAAATTACCTAGGATAACACAGCAAAGTTGAAGTGACTTACTTCCATTAGGATCCTACTAATTGTGTGTGGTATGTGGCCAAGTCCAAGTTTTCAAATTATCATTGAGGTGGCAGGTTCCGTGACTTGTTAAATTATAGCGACGAGTTGTCGACCAACATAATTAAAGTGAGTATTTAGGATAGGTTAATGCTTGCTAATAATTTTACAAACTTTCTGTACAGTAAAACCTTGATTCAGTGGACTGATTTAATGGATTTTGGAGTTAACAGGCAAAAATTGTGGTTGGTCAGTGTACAAAAAATGGACAAAGTTTGTTATTTTCAGAATTGTTGTTATTGCAATAATTATACACAATACTAACAATATGAGGAAGTGAAGACATGCCCATGGCCAGGCTCCAAGAGTAGAAAACTCTAGGAACTCATCATAGGTATGTCATCACTTGGGGATTTTCATTTAAAGATTCTTTGCCAACTAGTGTCTTTATCACTTCAGTACCTGTATGTAGCTATGATATACAAAGACAGTATATGACATTTAATTACAGTATGTTTATTCCAAAATTTAAGAATGCTGTTATTACAAGATCTGTGGCTTCCTGGCAAGCAAGTTTTCATACTGTAATTTCTAAATTTTGATGTTTCAGGTCTAGTACATTAATGCTCTGCATAACCATGGGCTTTCAACATGCAATCCAATATCACCCATTTCTGTATAAACTTTGTACCATGTTGAAATAAACTTAGATTTGTATTTATATTTATGTATACTTTGTTCTTACCTCTTAAAACTGAAAATTATTTTGATTGTAGGTAAAAATTTATGAAATTTATTAACAAATACTTGTAAATTACAGCAGAACAAGAAGAAAGGAAGCGACGTAGAAAATCTAGGTGGCAGGGCGATGAGAAAGACAAGACTTTCATTCCGGGCATGCCGACGGTGCTTCCCAGCAATATGTCCAAGGATCAGGAGGAAGCATATTTGCGTAAGTTTTATTGTGTACTCTCATTCTGGAAAGTTAACGAGTTTTCAGATGGTATGTACTGGTAACTCGGGGAAAGTCAACTGAGTTACTAAATACAGGTTGAAACTGCTGATATCTGCAAGAACAGCCTGTTTCAACATCTTGCGGGAAAGCTGATGGAGATTGTTGGTAACAGGACCAAAAATTTTGGTCATCTAATGTTCTTGTATGCAAGTAGAGGAGTTCTTGACAAGACCAGTCCTCTGCCTTTTGGTGTTGTTTTAGTAGTGAACACATGAGCTCTAACCTTAGATGTGCAAGATAAGGTGATACTTTTGATTAAAGTTTTTGTATGAGTGAGGTGAAATATTTGGGCTATATCAGTGAGACTGTTTCTAGGCAAGTTTATGAATGTTTTGAAAGAGTAATATTGTTTACTGTAATTTTATTTCTTGTTGGGTAAGTTATATTTTCATTATTTTTAATTAAAATTTGTTTACAGCATGACAGTCAACTAATTAATAGTCTTCTCCCTCAAATATTACCATTTAATCCATTTCCAGGTTAATTCAAGATTAAAGAAAAATATTAATAACGGTAGAAACAACGAAACAGCTCATTAATGAAATAATCTAGTTGATATGATAGTTTTATTACTTGTGAATGACATCGATGGGTAGCACTGTCATTTGAATTGCTACTCATACTTTTGGAGGAAACTTTTAACAGTGCAAATCCCTCTTTTTTTATAATGCTAATAAAGAACACTGTATTGATTGAATTTTGGGCATTTTTGCCCGCTAACCCGCTCTATTACAGTGCAGCTGCAGATTGAAGAATTAAGTCGACGTCTCCGCTCCAACGATCTGGGCATCTCTCCTAATCCTGAAGACAGGTTGGCACTTCTTCTCCCAGTTACTCCCGTCCAGGTGACTTGGAGCCATCCAGCTGGCTCATGGCACCCTGTCCCCGGCTCATCCCCTGCCCGCATCACTGGGCCTGGGCCAGGCCGGGCGACATCAGGTTTTATTCACAGTACCAAACTAAAAGTATCCTTCAGGTCTCTCCCCCCCCTCTCTCTCACGTGTCAATAGTGTGTTGCCTGCTCTGAGGCAGCATGATAATGTGCTCATAGATAATTTTTTAATAGGGTTTCTGGGGAAGGTAGGGCAGAGCGTTGGGCTTCAGTCATGGTAGGAGACATTGTTCAGGTACGTGACATCAGTATTCTGCAGTGGCATGAACTAAGTTTGAGGCTAGGTTGTTTTTTCATGAGTTTGTATTAACTGAAAAATTGGACAGCTTATCGATTTTATACTCGATTGTTGTACTGTGGTGACTGGCTTAGTATCATTTAGAAGTCTTTAAAAAGTATTCTATCGACTCCTCACATATAGTTATTTTAGAGTGGATACTATGTGCACTGTCCCTATTAAGTCTTCAGTCTCTTAAATATCAGCATGTAAATAACTTGCTTGATGTATAGATGCTCTGTTGGTCATGAGAGCACCACAATCCATTCTTAATTTACAGTACAGTATACAGTACCCTATTTTATTTACTGTTAAAAGTTTTATATAGCCCCATTATTTTTTTTATTTTAACCATTATGCTTCCATCCATCACAGACTAAATTGTAGTTTTATCACTATATTTTGTTTAAAATATAAGCGAGTTTAATCAGATGCTGGCAGGCTGCAAGAAGTATCTCGCCTAATGCTGTGACAATAAACGTTTTATGCCAGAGCTCTTGCAACCTGTATTGTTATTGGCCAGTTTTTACATTGGCGTAGATGGTTGAACTATGTTAATTGTAGGTGATGACAGCCAGTGCTATGCTTCAGTGGCTATTGACATATTGTGGTGTGGCTTAACATCTATCTTGGCTATCTTCGTAATTACTGTTCATGCTCACCCATATGTGCACTTAGTTAAACCAACATTTATTGCAGATGTCCGACCTGCAAAACTGCCTGGACACTAACCCCAATTTCTGGATGTTGACCCCCCTTTTGAACAGGTCTTTTATCAGAACATCTAAACATTTAACTTAATACTTGGTCTTACTGTTGAGGCAGGCTCTGATGTGAATAATATACGTAATATAGTTTTTCTCTTATTGCAAACTTTATGAAATTAATTGATTTATCATTAATGCACTCTCTCCACCTAATCCAGGAAAACTAATGAGAGATTTTCTAATGTTTTTTTTCCTGAGGAGCTTGAGATGTGATAAATTTTTCCGGTCAGTTATGATAGATAAATCTTGGTCTCCAGCTAGTGCTGTAATCATTTGCTTTTTAGGTCAGATGTATCACGAGGACTCGGCACTTCATGTACAGTTGTACGGAGTGTCTATAATTCTATCTCCCCTTCAGATTTAATACTACACTTTGGGTGGGGGTCTTTTAATTTAATCTCCCCTTCAGGTTGCACCAGTTTTATAATGATTGTCAGTATCTTTAGGTTTTGTGTAGCCCATCCACTGGTTGGTGTATTAAGAAAACTTGAGTATGGTTAATTCCACATACTCTTACTTGGTCTCTTATTTACTTTTCCCATATTCCCTCCACTCCTATACCCAAAAATCTTTCTGTATAGTTTTTATTTATTTTACATTTTGTTTGAAATTATTATTTTTTTTCATTCTAGTCATTTATTGGTTGATCAGTATTAATTGTCTTTTCAGGTGGTTTTCATTTCTGAATAACTTGAAATTCACATCTTGCATAAAGTATATAGAACTATCCTTTTTAACAACTTTTGTTCTTTGGTTGTCTCCTGTTTGATAGCTCCAAATTTTGACGTAAATTCATTTAGTAATGTGTAATTATTGTGGTATGCTTACATGTTCCTTGGGTTTTGATGTAGTTGTACCATGCTTTTTTAATTTTCTAAAATATTGTTTGTGAATAGTTTATTAGTAGCTCAAGTTTCTGTTCTTTATACTGACCTACTGCTTTCGTTGGTACATTTTTATTACAATACTGTGTTCCCAAGTCTTATTAACACTTTAATTGTTGGCCTGTGTAATTGAAAGCATTGTTCTAAGTACTACTGTATAGGTTATGAGTGTAGGTTATCTTGCTCTTTACCAATTTTAAAGCTTATGATCTTCAGATAAGATCATTCCAAATAATGGGGATCAATTTTAGTTTTTCTGAAGCTTTTTTTTTTTTTTTTACTGTCTTAAATTTTACGTAATGGTACTGCAGTTACGTAATATGTTAACCATTTGCTTTATCGCAAAATTAATATAAAAATTTCAAGCAGGCAGGTTTGTTTTATTTTGTTTACTTCAGTGAAGAATTTTAACATGAAATCCGTACTTGTTAAATTGTTTATGGCTACAAATTATTTCGTTTAATTTCTAATGCTTTTTATGACCTTTGTCC